TCGACAAACCATCAATCTTGACGAACGTTAAAGTATGTGTCTTCGGCGAAGACTACAATCTGCGGAAGCACAATTCGACTTCTGTAAATATGCATCTGCTTACCGTCTTTTTCTCATGCAGGATTTCCGGTCTCTTAACAGGGTTATGGTGGAGAGTGAGGATGGAAACTCCATAACCACGTCCAGTGCAGCCACAACAGAGCCGGACTTGATTCTTACCGTCAAACTGGAGCCTGCTGCTGATGGTATTACTTTTATCTATTGCAGCTTCACTCTTGCGATGCTGACATCACTTTTTTGTTCTGGTTGACATTAAAAAGCTATGTCTATCCTGTATATTGCATCCACACTTTATGTTTTCTTCTGTTTTTTAGAAGCCACCATCGAATATTTCGATGGGGAAGGACGTCAGGAAAGTTCAGGTGTACTTAGACCAGAACCGTGGACTCCCAAGACAGAAGAGCCCGAAACTCCAGTTCTGGCCGCGTCAAAGACCAAGTCCATCCCAGCATCAAGGCAGTCCTCTAGTAAGCACCGAATCTCACTGCCTTTGTATGCTTTACCGTGACCATTTGGAACCAAATATTGGGGTCTTGTTACGCGCGGAGCATTTCCCCTCCCATCGAATAAGTACTTCTTCCAAAGACAATAGCCCACATCATGACTTTGTTGGGGAAGTACTTCTTTAGAAATCATCTATCATTTATTTTTGACATCCATACAGGTTTGGCATAGGGCAGTTCTCTAAACGCATGGACCTCAGAATACTAACTGACCGCACTGTATGAAACCTAAGAACTTTGAGCCAGAAACTTCTTACTGCGGTTTATTCTCAAACCGCCGACTTCCCAAATTCGCGCCAATCAGTTGCGTTGCTCGATCGGTTTTTTCTTGATTCATAAGACCGACCCACCTTTTACTGACATGCGTGAAAACTCTTTAGTTCATAATGTTTGCAGTCATATAGCCATAGCGTTTGTCTGTCTGCTCGTAAGAGCTTCTCTACTCAACCTTAGAAAAATATTTGCCATGCAACGGTAGAATCTCCTAACTGCTCAAAAAGAGCAGCCATCGCCTATTGGCTGAAGTTCACGGGCCTGTTTGTAACAGCTGGGTTGCGAGAAAGGATGCTGAAGACTCGGGAGTCACTGACTCGAACTCGTCTTGCAGCAAACCTTTTTTATTAGTTGAGTTCCGCCAGTTCTTATTATCAGGACATGACACGTATTTCGACTGTTAAATTTCTAAACTGTCCAGAGTACCTGATATAAAGCCACGCCTCTCTCGGCAGACGCTCTAGCACACCTCCGGCTAAAAATATGGCCGATGGCCGAATTTCAAACAGAAATTCATCCAACAACACACCGGAGAGTATACTAACGCTACACTAGTATTCCACAATTGTGACTACTCCCAGTTTACTTAATGAAATAAAATACTTTGAAAATGCCGAAACTTATTTGGAATTTTCGGGCTGTTTTGGGGAGGTGGAGGGAGACGGGGGCTCTGATCGGCATTCCCGCCCCGCGAACACGAGGGTAGAGAAGGGTGTTTATGATTGGTGCCTGCTAGGGGTAGAAAGACTGATAGAGGGGCCCTGGAAACAGCAGATGTTATTGTCGCAGCAGTGTTATTGTCGCGAGACAGTAGATTGCAATGGGAGCAACCAGTAATATGTGTTCATAGGCCATCTTAAGACAGTTTTTCTCAAATGGTTGTGGATTGCGACATTCAACTAGGCAACCTTCTATCGCGACACATTAGTCAAAGTTACGAAGGTAAAAGCCTCATCGCCAAAAGTCTCCGTCTCTCAAATTTGATGACGGTCATCGACGCAGGTGGCTGCAACCATACACGCAATAACCGGCTAGCGAATAGCAGGCGCTCACGCACAAGTCCTGAGAGCAATGTTGGTGCATTTACTACCACTAATGATCTGTCATCATGAAGAGTTCTATGAAGTAGTCAAATCGTGAATTCGTTTGGGATACACAGTTTACCATACACTGCTAAATCCAATCAAGATCGATTTGATGATTAATACTGTTCCATCGATAAACTGTCGGGTTTTCAATGAAAGTATCCCTGTATGTTTATTGGCGTCCCAATCGAAACACTGGCCGCTTCCAAGCGAGCTCATAGAACTGAAGGTCGGGAGGTTATATTGGTTTACAGCCGTTTATTTTCGTTAAGGTGAGCTTCTTTACCATGGGATCTTTGACTCGTTAAAGTATTTCCCACAGCTATGACGTTGACCTGTGTACACCGTAACTACCATTGCGCCGTCTTTCTTAGTGGACATGTTTCACAGGACTGCATTCATCGAACAACTCGCATCCAGGACCCTTAGTGGAAGTGCTACTTTTTCGACTGCTGCGTTTCGCATTTTCGTTACTATTGCTGGAATGGGGCCATTCGTTATTGCGACTGCCATCATTAGTTAGGGGCCTGACAGCCAGATGCCGTTCGATTTAATTCCACATCATCTGGCCAAATGCCATTGCTGGGTGGAATTAAGAGATCGAACAATTTATTTCCAGGGAATAGCAGTGCTCCTTCTCCAATCTTCTCGGCTCGAAGCCGTGGTTAGCGCTGTCTGCAACAGCAGAAACAGCTTGCTAAGGCTGCTTCAAACAAAAAATATGTTTAGTGCCATATAAATAGCGTGAGAGGCGGATGCAGTAACCTAGAGTGGCGGCCGGTTATGTAAAGCGTAGATGAGCGACAAGGCAAGCCATTTGACATATCGCCTGACTGTCTGGACTGATCTCATCCTCAAACCGGCTTCATCAAGCAATAGCCTCTGACGTCCCTCTAATTGTCTTCATTTGAATTCGTGAAGTATATGACGGCCGACTTCGACATTGCTAGTATTACTCACACTGGCTCGTGGACGTTTCCTAGCATATGTGCTGCGCTCGCGGGCGACTACTTAGCCATCTTTAGTGTCCAAGTGTACCTTTCACACGGCGTATGCACTGGGGCTGTCTTTGTCTCTGAAAGTCTTAACTCTTTCACACTGTTAGAGCTCTGCATGCCCAAAATCCGCCCTCACTTGATCCATAACCACTGTACCTTGCGGCTTTTTATTTTCACTCCAGAAGCCCGACTTTACCAATGCGATCAATGTCGGCGACGTTTTTCCACCTACTTCAGTCTTCAGGTACACTTCGACTTCCAGCATATGGGTGAGTTTTCACATCCGCTGAGGGGTTAAGGGTTTTTTTAAATGACCACTCCCCCGCCCCCCCTACGTATTCTAGCATTGATTCGATGCCGTTCCTGACTGTTTAAAAATGTTAGTAAATACCCGGGTTTACTACCTTTTTTTCGTAGTTCATTTGAAAATGGCACCCCATGACTACAAGGTATTGTGAGACACCATAACCTACATTGCATCTGGAGAGTTTACATGCTCCTACCAGCAGCTGAGTCTCACTGCAAACAAGACGGAGTGCGTCCGCACCCTGTGTCCATCGCCTACATGTGCATCCGCTAACTAGTGCCTGGCGAATAGTCAACTTTTGCAGACTAAACTAGTCAGCTTGCCGCTTTTCCAAGACGGGTTGAAAAAAACAGCTACTGTTGTGGCTTGCCATTAGGGAAACCTCATCTGTACTGATTCAACATACTCCCAGAGCTTGTTCCTCGCCCACATTCCAGTTAAATTGATTCCAGTTTATACTTTGCAGGTTTCACTGCAATGCATACATGGTTGTACCACGAAGTCTTAGAAAGCTTTCTGACCGTATTCTGTGCGTCCGATGTGGGGAAGTGTTCTCCTGCTCATTCCTTATTTTTATGTATTTTAATTTGATTGACACCGTTACAGACTGCATCTTCTGTCTCTGTAGGTGTACGCAAATGTCGGCGGTGCAACACCAGATTCCCTACTCCTTCAAGCTTAGAAGCCCACTTGGAAACCGCTCATCAGGGTACCACTTTTCCCGACGTTCTTTTTAGGCATATGTGTCTTGAGATGCTAGGTATTATTATTTTATTCATTTTACAAAATATTACTTCAGAAGACACCCGAGTTTATTCCACGTAACTCTCAGCTCGAAAGCATCGGCTCCGTTCAATACTAGAGAATAGCCATAGTCTGCATTTTCTAGTATCCACAACGGTTGTTTCCCATCCAATGAGGATTTCGTTTTTTTTGTTTAGAGGGCAGCACTTTTACGTGCAAAGGCTGCATGATAAATTGTTCCTCCGCAGTCGAGTTGGAGCGCCACAAGAGGCGTTGTGGCAAGGGTATTTCGAATTGTTCATATTTTCTACACTGCTTCTAATCTGGAAAGATTGTATGTATTTTCTTTTTTTGCCCATCCTCCATTTGTTGGCCGGGGGGCTAATTTGGGTTACCCCTTTGAGGCTGGTAAGTTCCGGCTCATATACTCATATCAACTTTCGGATGAGCTCTAAAAAGCCTCATTTTGAGTGGCTTACTCCAAGTAAACTTGTTAATTTCTAAGAAAACTAAGAAGGCGAGATCTGGAAACCGGAGCATATAGCACAAAGCGCACGGAGAATGCTGGGAGACCTGTCGATGAGTCAAACCCCTCGCAGCTGCGTCGTGAAGTGGTAGAATATAGGCGAAACAAGCGCCTGGGCT